AGGGACAAGGAGGTGATCCTCCCCCTCTGTGCAACACTGGTCAGGCCACAGCTGGAGTACTGTGTCCAGTTCTGTGCACCCCACTTCAGGAGGGATGTGGACAACATTGAGAGGGTCCAGAGGAGGGCCAACCACATGATTCAGGGACAACAGGGCAGACCCTACAATAAGAGACTGCGGGACCTGAACCTGTTCAGCCTTCACAAGAGAAGGCTGAGGGGGACCTAGTGACCGTCTATAAACTCACAAGGGGGGACCAGAAGGGTTTAGGAGAGACCTTGTTTCCTCTAGCGGCCCCTGGTATAAGAACAAATAACGTCCACAAGTTGTTGGAGAATAGGTTTAGATTAGACATCCGTAAGAACTACTTCACAGTTAGGGCGGCTGGGATCTGAAAGCAACTTCCAAGGGAAGTGGTGCCGGCTCCTACCCTGGGGGTCTTTAAGAAGAGGCTTGATGCCTACCTAGCTGGGATCATTTGAGCCCTGTTTTTTCTCCTGCCCAGGCAGGGGGTCAGACTTGAAGATCTACAAGGTCCCTTACAACTGTACTTCTATGATTCTATTATTTGGACTGATTTATCCTCTCCACACCCCTGGTGCTCATAAAATATGTGCATCTGTTTAACTAAATCAGATGGAAAGCTACATATGTAGTGTAAGCTAGAGCATTTTTACAGTTCAGTAATTCTTAGATGATACACTCAAGGTCCAAAACATTCTTACTTATATTTTCAAAGAGTGAAAAAAAAATTAGCATTCCCATTGCAACTTTCCATATGCAACTAAAATATATATATATGGGGAAAGGGGGAAGCATGAACCAGTCTTCTGACATCTAACCTTTTGGGGCTTCAGCATAGCCAGTATGCAACTCAGCGTGCAGGCTAGTCTCTAAAGCAATGGTTCTCAACTTTGTTATGCTCAAGCCACCCCCAGAAAATGCCAGGTCCTAGCTTTAATTTGTTTCTTGAGAAGGAAAGGAAAGGAAGGAAAAATGTTGCAAAGAAAATCACAAAGATCACAACAGGGTAGAATTTTTTTTTAAACTTATGGATTCCTATTTAAAAATTTCTGGCTGGAAACAGATGTCACTTTGTGCCACTGCAACACAAAGCGAGAGAAAACAGATATCCATACCTTCTGTTGCACTACAAATGCTCACATTTGTACCCAGGACAAAAGGTAGTAACAATTTGGGCTGCTTTATTGCCTCCCATGTGTTTCTTTATGACTGAAGAGCCTGGGCATCATGAAGAGACATACTGAGGCAATCTCAAATTCAAATCCAGAACCAATTTGTAAATAAATTTGGTCTCTAGAGAACTAGCCAGGCACTCAAGAGTTGGCAAACATTTTGCTAAACCTGGCCTAGTTAATGATATGATAGTTTTAATATGGTTTTGCTATACCTTTTAGAATATCTGTATGACCTAGAGCATGAGCATGTCAATGAAAATGTTCCCATTTAAACCCACAAATAAAAGCTACAATTTCCTCACAGCCAGTTTTTAAACTACTGCCTTAAACAGAAGTGAATTCAGAACACCCTTGCAATTTCCTAAAAATGATCTGTAATTCCTTATTAAAATGAATTCATTTCAACCATGCAACTTACCAATCTGCTCAGACAAGTGGCGTGCTGGTCTTGCTGGCTGAAGGGATTTGCCAATCATTTTTTTGATTTCCATGGTCTTTAAAATGTTGAGGCTCCTCACTTAAAAAAGAATACAGATTAATATGAAACGTTCTGCTACAGAAATTAATACAATGTTTTTGCCTACTTCCCTACTGGAGCTTGGTACATTTGAGAAAATGGTTCTAGGCAAAAGAGGGAAGGGTCACTGTGTGCAAATACTTGGGGGATGGGGGGAGGGGAGAGAAAAAACAAACAAACCATAAAGTAAGAAAAGTAAGTATCCCAACATGAAGAGGCAAGGATTTGGGGGTAGGTAATCTGCTTTACTGGACAAACTGTATGTCTGGGATATTTAGACAGGCATTTGAGTAACATAGTACCTTTCCTCAGGTCTGTGCGCTCCTCTCCCAGAGAAAGCTTGGCTAAATCTATCCCAAACGTAGGTCCAATGAAAGAGTTCACCCACAAAAATCCTTGCCACTTGCATATTTCCTGCACCACTATGGTGACATCGTTTCAACACCACCTATTCTATATACGGTAATTTTGTTTACAAGTCTTGAGATATCCCTTATCTGATGGAAGAAAATTGCAATCACTGGTTTCAAGTATTTTTCTGACTGGCAAAGAATTCAGTCTGCAGGCATTGACATTAGCTTCTCTTAATTGTATAATTTAAGCCTTAGACACTTTTTTTTGTAGTGCTACAAAGTTTGCAAAGCTATAAAAACAGATTATGTGCTCCTTTTAACTGGAGAGCAGCATTACCAAAGGCATGATCTAAAGCCAGGAGAAATTAGGAGGCTGTTTCTTGGTTTCCCTCCTCCCAGAGAAGCCTGTCCGTGAGTGAGGCAGGCCTACTGACAACAGCTGATGGTAAGCCACCGGCGGCAGCAGCAAGTGCTGAGTGTGTGGCAGAGACAACTGCCACTGGAGCCCCATCTTCTGTTAGCCCCATCAGCCTTTGCTGCTGGTTGACATACAAGCCAACCCTTGCAAGGCGCACTGGCTGGGCATGCTACCAGGGAGGCCAGCTGCTCTCCCTCCTGCTTTGTGGGGGAGTGCAGGCTGGGAAGGGAGGAGGGGAAGGAGAGGAAGGAATAACCACTGTGGGATACGGACAGTCCTGGACTTACAACTTTACATTATGATGAACGACATTCACAACATTTGTAAACTGACACCCTGTTCAGGGCTCTGATGCGGGCTTTACCTTTACAACACTCGATACAGCTGCATCCAGCTGGTAATTCTGTTGTAGTAGAGGGGGCGGGAAAGGGCACAGAGCGGCTGATCAATGCCCCTGCAGCAAAGGAGGGATTG